AGGAGGAGAAGAAGAAGGAAGAAAAGGAAAAGTCTATATTTGGACTGTCCCAGGTTGAGGTCACCTGAAAATTAGAGATGGATAATGGAAATGCCCCAGTTCCCTCCTGATTGGACCAGCTATTCATAAGGGTAGAGCTCAGGTCCATAAGATTTCAGGCCCTTCTGTGGATAATCAGGGCAGTCACTGGAAGCCAGGTTCTAGACCAGGCTCTCTCTAAGTAGGGTAGAGAGAACTAAAATTCCAAATCTATCCAATAAGTCTGGACAAGTTGATCTCCTGTAAAAGGCTAAAAAGGTCTACCTTTGTCCTCTGTGGGTGTATATCCAGATAGGGACCCTGGACAGAGATAAGTTGGGCTTGTCTTTTTTTGTTTGTTCATTTGTTTGTTTGTTTGTTTGTTTGTTTGTTTAGGATATCTAGGAGTTCAGTTGCTTAACAGTGCAAAGAAGCACATCCCACATGGACTGTTTTTGAAAAGGAATGATGTTGATCTCTGTCATCCCTCTGTCTGTGGTGTACTCACAGTCTGAAGTCATCACCTTGAAAAGCCCCTCCCTCTTGGATTCTTAGAATCCTAGAACCCCACCTAAGTTAGACACCATCACCCCAACTCCAGCATCTGAAAAGGCTACCCTAAAAAAGGACAGACTTGTAACTCAGAGGAAAACGAAGACTCCAAATATGAATCTTGACTTAGTTCTTTGTGCTGTCATTGAGAAATGCTTTATATGCCTATATATTATATACCCAATAGTACAATTGGTATAACTGCTCCCCCTGCTTAGCCAAGTATTCCTAGGGATTGAATTCCGGCAAGTGAACTCTATTTCTATCGAATACAGACAAGTGCTCTACCAGTGAACCATATCCCTAGCCCCTTCTTACTTTTTATTTTGAGAAACTGTCTCTCTAAGTTTCACAAACTGACCTTGAACTTAAACATGCAGCTCAGGTGAGCCTTAATCTGTGATCTTCCAGCTTCAGCCTCCCTAGAAGCTGGGATTACAGGCCTTGTGTCACCATGCTTTTAGTTTTTTGTTGTTGTTTTTTAATTGAGGTCTTGTTATGTAGCCCAGACTGGCCTCAAACTCTTAATATCCCTTAATCCCCTCTCAAGGACTGGGATTTTAGGAGTGTAACACCATGTTTGGCTATAACACTGCCTTCTACAATGGCAACTTTCGTCTTCAAACAATCAAATAGCCACAATCATAGAGAAAACACATATATCAACTTCTAGCATCTCATGTGTCCCGGACAGTCCTGCCCACCTACTGCCCAGTGACTTGTGGAATCTTTACAACAATCATCAGAATTAGCCGCTGCTGGCTTTATTT